TTTGAGCTTTGCCTGTGTTCCCGCTGGCAGCTCCCACACAGTCCGGGAAACACGTATCCCTGTCTTCCCTAAGTGGAAAGCAAGCCAGCGTGTGTAACAGTGCACCACATCACCCGAGGTGAGGCAGACCACAGGAACAGGGTGCAGCGTGTGGGTGTGTGCTGGGGTGAGGGCATCTGCTGTCCCTGGTCGCAGCTCAGCGCTAAAAATGGGATGGCTCGAACCAGCTTGGGAAGGCTGCGACGGGGCAGGGGGATGCAGGGCACAGCAGCCAGGCTGATGTGTGGGGCAAAGCAGAGGCAGAGGCTGCTTGCAGTGGGTGGGGGCAGTGATGGTGTGACCGTCTGCAGGAGTGAGAGCACGGCCAGGGGGCTGCGGGACGGGCTCTGGGTGATGGAGGAGCCGGACCCGGTGGCCGGAGGCAGAGGGGTGTTGCTGAGGGGGGAGGAAGGCATCTCCGTCTGACCAGGGGGATGGAGGGAGGGAGCACAGAGGGGCAGCGAGGGGTGAGGGGGACCAGGGTCAAGGGCAGGGATGGCAGAGGGAGGTGAGGCAAAGCACTGTCAGTAATTGCGCTGCAAGAGCCAGCTGTCAGAGCGGGTGAGGCGGCTGCTCTGACCGGTACACCCACCAGAGAAGGCTGATTTCATTTTGCTCCTTGCTTGCAGCTGATCATGCACAAAGGGCGCCTGGTTTGTGTCAGCTCTCGTTGCCTGCTCTCTCTTTCTTGGCAGGCTCCTGCAGGCAGCTGGAAGGGCTCGGTGCTGCTCTGCAGCACTGGCAGGGGACTTCATCAGAGTTTCCCGACTCCTCGCCTCTTTCCTGCTCTCGAGGCCGTGGTTTCCCTTGGTAAATCTCAGCTGGTTCCTTTAGGTCTCCTCCTGCTTTGCCTCTGTCTGCAGCCCTGCTGCTCCCCAGCACACCCCCTCGGAACCCCCCGAAGGAGCCCCTTGTCCCCAGCCGGAGCTGGCCAGCTCCAGGCTCGGCTCTGGGGGACGCTGGTGGAGGCAGGGGAGCCGGGCCAGGCAGCGTGAGGTGTGGTGGGGACGGCGGAGCGAAATGCCTCGGCTGCTGGGGCCCCGCAGCCGGTTTGAATCTCCCGCTGCGGCCCCGGCGGGGTGAGGAGGAAGGGTGCCTGGTGCTGCCGGGCTGGCTCCAGCCCAGAGGGCCTGGAGGGCAAAAACCCTGGCTGCTGTCAGAGCAGCAAGGGGTTAAGTGTGGCTTGGGCTATCGCATTCTAGCTGGGGAGTTCCCTGTTCCAACAGCCTTTAAACACTTTTTTGACTTTTTATTAAGAAAAAGAAGTAGAACCAGTTAAGTGGAAAATTAAGCAGAGCTTTCACCATAACAGTATCTTCTGTTCTTTTTTATCTTGGAGGTAAAAACTTTAATTAGGAGAAACTAACAGACTTTCAGCTGAGTGTAAAGATAGTATTAGCTGTCATCTTTGGGGTTTGGGAAAAAACCTTAGTGGAGACACCCTGCAGCTCTGTTGCTAAAGCCTGGTCTTTGTGCTGTTAAGACAAAACTAAGGCAATTGCACGTAAAAGCAGATTGCAACAGCCAAAAAAATAATGTCTGTGTCCTGCTGCAGCCTTGCTGCTGCACAGATACAAACACATCCCATGTCCTCTCTGCCACTAGGAGACTGGATTGTGCTGAAAGGGGAATTGTAAGTGAGAATATGAGCTCTTAAGAGCCAAATTAATTTAATATTTCTATCAATGACTTTGTCATAAAATATCAGGTGCAGATCAGAGAGCTCAGCTAACCGGTGAGGTAGTGAAATGGTAGACTGAGGGCTGGAACAGCATTCAGGGGCAACGGGTGACATTGAAGGCTGAACTAATAGTCATGGGAGGAAATTGAATGGTACAAAATGCAAAGTCATGCCCTGGAGTCACTGAACAAACATTTATGCCATAAATTAGGCCCCCGATTTGGAAGTAATTAAAGAGGAAAAGGCCCGCATGCGTTCAGCAACCTCAGGATGAATGTAGGCTGCCATGTAACGCAGCCACGACGATGTGGTGCATTCTTAACTCTGTTGGGACGTATTTCCAGGAGAGACAGACAGTGCCAGTGTTGTACAGAGCATTATTTACAGACCATGCACCAGCCATGCTAAAAAACATGAATTAATTGTAGGAAAGGTGCAGAGGAGAGCAACTGAGATGACTGAGGGAATGCAGAGAGGAGATGAGAGCAGCCCAGCTTGATAGCTTGTCAAAACAGACGTTGAGGGGAGATAAGATTGCCCAGGGTAGCTTTATCAGTGAAAAACACTGGAGCAGGAGATCTGCTTAAACTGATGGACGGGTTTTGCATAAGAGGAAATTGGTCTGAGCTGGCTGAAAGCTAGGAGGACGTCTCTAGCTGCTGGAGGAGACAAACTGGAACGAGCTCCCAGAGCAGGGGCATGGGGAGCCTGCCCATTTTGCAGAAGGAGTTCTATGGGAAGCTGCTGCCTAGCAGGCAGCAGGCATGCCAACCCAGGAGCACCCTGCCAGCCACGTTTGCTTTGTCGGGGTGGGCTGATGTGCTCCAGCTGGCCTAAGGGGCCTGGCTGGCTCCGTGTCCCACACTTGCGGGCTCTGGCATGGAGGTCTGCGGCCCCTGAGGGTGGGGAACACCATCGCTCAGCTGGGAAAGCTGCTGTTCTGTGGGCACTCTACCTGCTTCCCCGCTCCCAGCTGTGGCTTTGCCTGGCCTGTGGGCACAGCGATGGGTCTGCTGGTTTCCCATTCCTTTTCCAGCAGGTCAGGTCCTGGGGCGTTTGCTCTTAACCCCAGTCTGCTCCCATGAAACTTAGAAGTTACCCAGCGCATCCGCTGTGGTGCGGTGTTCCCACAGGGACTGGGCAGCAGGCACTCAGAGTGCCTGACCTTTTCTTCTCCCCTGTTGCCCCCATGACTCCAAAGAGTATTCAGATACTATTCAGATGCATTCAGTTATGCAACCAGCTTTTAACTATGCAAATGTATGCAGCTTTTCCTTTACACAATGTCCTGTTTTCTTTCAGCTTCTTTTTTGGAAATTCAGCACTTCCTGTGGGAGTGCAATCTGAGTCCCGGGGAGCCATCTGGAACCCTCCCAGCCTTGGATCCCCAGGCAGGCTGGAGCTGGCACCGACTCCTTTCAGAAGCCTCACCACCCCGGCTGCTGGAGTCCTCCTGCTCGCCGTCCTCTGCTTGCCTGTGCGACCCTGGCTCCTCAGTCCACCCCAGAGCCAGTGGTAGAAACTGGTGCCAGTTCCCTGCAAGAAGCACGAGCACAGAGAGGGGGCTGCATCTGCATGGCCTGTCCAAGTCTGTAACCTGGCACCAGCCGACAACAAGTGTGTAGGAAGCAGTGTGAGAACAGGGCAAGCGCACATTAGCACTTCTCTGGTATGTCCTCACAGGCCCCAGGGGTTTGTGACTCTGGAAGCTACTGAAACAGCCATTAATTTTGTTATTTAGTAGCTCGTGATGGATTTTCCTCCGTGGCTTACTCCAAATGCTTTCTGAATCCATAGACACTTCTAGTGCCCAGAACATCCTGCGGCAGGGAGTTCCTCAGCTCAGCCACCCCGAGCATGCAGAATTACTGCCTTCAACCTGAACCAGCCTCATGCTGGATTCTGCAATAAGCCTCAGTCCCTGAGCTGGAAAAGACAGTGAACACATCTCCCCACTGCCAACTATGATATCCACCTTGGTAGTGTCTCCATCTGTGGAGTCTACTCAGTCTTCCTCCTTCCTTCCTATGGGTCATCATTCTTAGGCTTCTCTGAGTCTTCACAAGATGGGACAATGAACACCACAGAGATGGGATTCTGTTCTCTGCTCCCTTCCTAGTAATTCCCAGCAATTCCATTTCCTCTGTGGAGCAGAGTGGACAAGTCTGGGAAGTCCCTGTGCTGCTGCATGTCCGTATTAGCCCTGTGTTAGTCTTTTTGTTAGTAAGCTTCCACTGATGGAGTGGCTGTGCTGCCGCTGGGACTGGATGTCTCATGGGAACCTCTGCCAGCACCTTCCTGTGCCTCCCCAGCTGGGATGGGTGCTTCTGCCACCGGCCACGGCTCTCCCGGTGCATGGCTCTGGAGCACTGTGCCCGTGGAACCCTCTCCAGGGGCACCCACAGCTGCGGTGGCCTGTGGGCCCTACCCAGGGCCCCCCACTTCGCCTCTCCCCATGGGTGACCCTCGCTGTGGCTTTTGCCACGAGCCTGCCCGCAGCTCTGGGGGAGGCTGCAGCCCTTGCAGCTCCCGGGGGTCTGAGCAGGCCCCCCCAAAACATGCCACCATGCCCTGGGGCAGCGCAACCTGGCAGTGGGGCTCCTCCCTGGGAAGTCTGTCCCTGGCTAAAGGACTGGTTCGCGCCCTCCCTGTCCCCCTCCAAGTGGAGGGCATGGCCGGCCCCACTGGTGGCTCTGTGCACACGTGTGTGCGTGACCGCGGCAGGCGGCTCCACGGCACAGGCATGCACAGCTCTGGGACCCCCGGCGCTCACGTGCAGTGAGCTCCCACAGCCCAGGAGACCCCCACGGCCCCAGCCTGCAGCAGCAGGGCCGAAGGACGGGACAGGGCTGAGCATCCCACGGGCCACCCCGAGCAGAGGCTGCCTGCCTGGCCCTCCGCAGCTCCCAGTTATGCTGCACTGGGGTTTCTGCCTGCTCCCATTCAGGGCAGGCTCCCACCCATCTGACTTGGGCGCTGGCTCCTCACGTCCCTGTTCTTTGTCAGTGCCCGTGTGTGTGGCAGAAAGCCGCAGCCACAAGCCTTCCTGGGCCCTCCCCACAACCCCTCCAGGAAAGCTCTGTTGGGCAAAAGAAATCTCAGCAAAGTCATAGTTGAAACAGCAACGAGTTTAACCAGGCGCCCGCCCCGTTCCTCACACAGGTTTGTCACCGCCTTTTCCCGCACATAGTTGAGTTACGTGGAGAGCGACCTCTCCCAAGTGCCCAGGCCATGCCTGCCCCAGGAGGCAGAGCTCACTTCTCAGCTGGAGTGGGTGGTGTTAATGGTCCTGGTGGTGTCTCTTCTTACGCTGTGGGCCTGTAATGACGGTGGTGGTGATGGTGATCTTGTTCACGGTCAGCCCTCCTGTGCCGTAACTGTCGAGATGTGCCTCTCGTTTGTACTCAGAGACTTGCTTGGTGGAGAGGAGCTCCCACACTGACACCCTCTGCTCCTGGAACTGGCCAAAAGTAATGTAGGAGCCCTCAGACTGGAGGAGATCCACTGTCTGCTGGGGAAGCATTTGGAGATGCCTTTCCTTGCCGTCTGTGGCAACGCTGCTGGTGGTGTTGACCAGTTCCTGAATGGTGAGTGTCCCTGCACGGTACAGCCCCAGGAGCTCCTGCCTTTTCTCCTCAGGGATGTACTCGGAGAAGAGCAGGTCCCACACAGAGACCTGCCTCCCCTGGAACTCGTCCACTGCCACCTCGACTGTGGTGGACTTCAGAGCCTCTTCCCAGGTCTTGTCCTCCTGCAAGTGGGTGTGCTGGGCTTCTGCGACGGTCGACTCTGCTCTTGGAGGACTCCCGTTTGCCATCTGCTCTGCTCTTGCTGCTTCTGCCTTGCTTACAATCGTGCTGACAACAGTTTTCACCTGCTCGAGGGTTAACTCTCCTGCCTGGTACAGCTCCAGCAGCTCCTCTCTGTTCTCCTCAGGGATGTACTTGGAGTGGAGCAGATCCCACACAGAGACCTGGTGGCCCTGAAACTCCCCGACCTCCATGTCGACGACTGTGGTTTTCAAGGCTGTTTCCCATGGCTCTTCTTTGGGCACATCATCATCCTTCTCTCCTGCTGCTGACACAGTGTCCTTGTCAGAAGCCTTGACTGCAAGTAGGAATTTTCTGCTTGTAGACTCTTTTTTCTTAATGAGAGTGGTGACAACAATTATTAACCGCTCCAAGGCCAATGTCCCTGCGCAGTATAGCCCCAGGAGCTCCTGCCTTTTCTCCTCAGGGATGTACTCGGAGAAGAGCAGGTCCCACACAGAGACCTGCCTCCCCTGGAACTCGTCCACTGCCACCTCGACTGTGGTGGACTTCAGAGCCTCTTCCCAGGTCTTGTCCTCCTGCAAGTGGGTGTGCTGGGCTTCTGCGACGGTCGACTCTGCTCTTGGAGGACTCCCGTTTGCCATCTGCTCTGCTCTTGCTGCTTCTGCCTTGCTTACAATCGTGCTGACAACAGTTTTCACCTGCTCAAGGGTTAACTCTCCTGCCTGGTACAGCTCCAGCAGCTCCTCTCTGTTCTCCTCAGGGATGTACTTGGAGTGGAGCAGATCCCACACAGAGACCTGGTGGCCCTGAAACTCCCCGACCTCCATGTCGACGACTGTGGTTTTCAAGGCTGCTTCCCATGGCTCTTCTTTGGGCACATCATCATCCTTCTCTCCTGCTGCTGACACAGTGTCCTTGTCAGAAGCCTTGACTGCAACTAGGAATTTTCTGCTTGTAGACTCTTTTTTCTTAATGAGAGTGGTGACAACAATTATTAACCGCTCCAAGGCCAATGTCCCTGCGCAGTATAGCCCCAGGAGCTCCTGCCTTTTCTCCTCAGGGATGTACTCGGAGAAGAGCAGGTCCCACACAGAGACCTGCCTCCCCTGGAACTCGTCCACTGCCACCTCGACTGTGGTGGACTTCAGAGCCTCTTCCCAGGTCTTGTCCTCCTGCAAGTGGGTGTGCTGGGCTTCTGCGACAGTCGACTCTGCTCTTGGAGGACTCCCGTTTGCCATCTGCTCTGCTCTTGCTGCTTCTGCCTTGCTTACAATCGTGCTGACAACAGTTTTCACCTGCTCCAGGGTTAACTCTCCTGCCTGGTACAGCTCCAGCAGCTCCTCTCTGTTCTCCTCAGGGATGTACTTGGAGTGGAGCAGATCCCACACAGAGACCTGGTGGCCCTGAAACTCCCCGACCTCCATGTCGACGACTGTGGTTTTCAAGGCTGTTTCCCATGGCTCTTCTTTGGGCACATCATCATCCTTCTCTCCTGCTGCTGACACAGTGTCCTTGTCAGAAGCCTTGACCGCAATTAGGAATTTTCTGCTTGTAGACTCTTTTTTCTTAATGAGAGTGGTGACAACAGTTATCATCTGCTCCAGAGTTAATACCCTTTCACGGTACAGCTCCAGGAGCTCCTGCCTTTTCTCCTCAGGGATGTAGTCGGAGAAGAGCAGGTCCCACACAGAGACCTGCCTCCCTTGAAGCTCACCAGCTGGGACTTCAATGGTGGTAGCCTTCAAGATGTTATCTAGTTGTGCATCTTGTGTTGAAAAATCATCTCCATTTCCATCTGCCCTTGTCACCGCCTTGTGTGGACTTCTGGCATTTGCCATGGGCATGGCATTTGCAGCTTCTGTTCTGTTTATGATGGTGGTGACCACAGTAGCCACCTGTTCTGTGGTCAGTATCCCTGCTCTGTAGAGCTCCAGCAGCTCCTGCCGCTTCCCTTGAGGGACGTATTTGGAAAAGAGCAGATCCAACAAGGAAATATTTTGGCCCTGGAGCTCACCAGTAGAGACATAGATGGTTGCAGACTTCAAGGACTTTCTCAACTGCTGCTCCTGGGAATGCGTATCCTGAACTGGTTGTGATGCTCCCACCCCATTGTTGGCTATTACCGTGGATGAGCTCAGATCTCCATTTCCCATTTCTGCGCTGGTGATGATGGCGGTGAGGATGGTGATCACCTCCGGGATGGTCACCATCCCCGCCTTGTATTTCTTCAGCAGCTCCTCTCTCCGGTGGTCGGGCACGTAGCGGGAGAAGAGGAGCTCCCAGAGGGTGACGCTCTGGCCCTGGAAGAGCCCCACGCTGAGGGTGGTGCGGGCGGCCTGCAGGGCTTTCCGGGCGTCCTCGGTGAGCTGGTAGAGCACGGAGCCCTTGTCCATCAGCTGGAGCATGAGCAGCCCCGTGTCCGGGTCGGGCACGCAGCGGCGCAGGAGCTGCAGGTAGGTGAGGTTCTCGTGCGTGTTGGGGTCGAAGCAACTTCTTATTTGATTCTCGGGGTTAGAAAGAAACTGGCACATCTCCTGGTCAAAGAAGCCACGCTGGCAGGCCACCTCCACGGGCAGGCGGTGGCTGTGCACGGGGTCGATGATGCCGCCGGTGGCGATCTGGGCTTCGAGCAGGCGGATAGCGTGCTCCTTGACGATGAACTCCTTCTTCATGGCCTGGAAGAGGGAGATCTTGTGTCCTGTGCAGGGTTCCGTGTACCCTGTCACAGCTCCCTCTGCTGACAGCAGCTTCTCATAAAAATCTCTGCCAATGAGTCCTGCAGTCAGTGCCTCTTTCACCGATAATTTCTCGTTCCTCACGGGGTCGGTGAGGAACCCTGAAGCAGCCTGTGCCTCCAGCAGCACCAGGGCCGTACCAGGTGTCAGGAGCCCCCTCATCATGGCATCATAGATACTCATCTTCTTATTCATGGCCTGGATGAAGACTCCAGCTATGAAGTTACTCCCACCCCCACCCATCTCTTTGTGTCCACCTGCAATCAGGTTACTTCCCGTGTTGCTTGACTTGTTGTTCTGAGAGGGTCCACTCATCCTCTGCGTTGACTCTGGGGAACAGTCCTGCTACCGTGGGGCACTGTGTTTGTCTGAGGAGAGAGAAAGAAATGACTTGGTAAGACGCAGGTTCCTGTGCAGCTTTCATGGTGTGTGAAGAAAGCTGTCTCCCTGGATGTGGCAGCAGGAGCCCAGAGAGAAGAGAGGACTGGGATCTGCGGCTTTGCTGCCGTTCTCCTCTCTCAGCAGCAATCTCGGGGCCAAGAGGGCCCCATGTCCAGCTCCCTCTCGAACAGCAGATGGGAGCTCTCTGGAAGCAGCTGTGACAGTTCGGCCGTTGTGTTTGCCTGCTCAGCATCCTCTGCACCTTCCAGCTGCAGTGGCGTGAAGCCACGTCTCTGCACATCTGCACATCTGTGCCTCTGCACATCTCTGTGCAGCTGGTCATCTTAGCGCAGGGGTACAGCACTGTCATGACCAGCAGGCCTGGTGCCTATGCCAAAGAGCTCCTGCACTCAGGGCAGGAGGACAGGCAGTGCTGTGAAGGGGAGCAGAGAAGGGAAGCAGAGCTGCCCCATGCCTCTGGCACCTGCAGGCAGGGAGGTCTGAGGGCCGTGTCACAGAGCGGCAGGCTTAGTGAGAGATGCACTCTGCAAAGAAGCATCACAGCAGCAGCAGCATGGGTAACGTGGTCCTGCTCTGGGCCCCCAGGGAGCTGCCTGCTCTCCCAGAGCCTGACACTGCCTCAAGCTGTGGCCCCTACCACCTTCCTCTTCTGTTCCTGGGTGACGCACCACTGCTCGCGTTGGGGCTGATGCCACAGGGTACCAGCAGAAAGCGTGGCCACTGCTCACCTCCTTATTCCCTCAGCACTGGCTCCTGTGCTGCCCTGGGGCTGGCAGATTTAGCTGGTGGACCTTTAACAAGCACAACAACAAGAAACAGCGGTGACTTACTGATATAACAGCCACCAGCGACTATCCAGCTGCAGAGAGGTGGGTGTGTGAGTGCTGCAAGTCATCTTCTGCTCTTGCCCACCACGCATTTGTGGTGGCCACGGGCAGGCTGTGAGCATGGTGGGACACCGCCAGCACCAAGCAGGGTGGCAGGCACAGCCTGGCTCACGGCTGTCCGTGGAGATCTCTCTATCTGCTGTGTGATCCCACACCACAGGGCACGGGAATGGTGTCAGTGACAAATGAGTGGCTGGTGAGATCCACGTGCAGCAGTGGGCCTGAGCTGGCTGAGACCTTCTCTCGGACTGTGCCTCTGCTGCAGTTGAGATGTGCCTGGGTCTCTGCTTGTTCTAAGGCCACTGGATTGGCAGAACCCCCAGTCCCCATCCCCTTACACACTTCTGTCCTCCAAAACTGGCATCTGCTGCCACAGGCATGTTGGCACTGGTCCTGGCCCGTGCCAGCTTCTGAGCTGTGCATGGGCACTGTCCGTGGGAGGGCTAGTTGGCTGGTGCCAGACACCATCCCAGGGTCCTTTCTAACCAGTTTCAGCAACTGGGGACGCAGGCAGAGTCAATGGGAGGGTTTATCTGGTGGAGTGCTCTCCAGATATTTAGAGAAAGTGCTCTAGCAGCAGGCTGGTGGAGAGGGCTGGTCTGGCCGAGCCCTCTGGCACACAGCCCTCCGGATGTCCGGGGTTGGGCTTGCCCTGGACCGCAATCGGTAGCCACCACAGGCTGTCTTCCACAGACATGTGTGGTCATGTCTGCGAGCCCAGGTCTGGTGTCAGCCTCTACAGCATCCTGTGGCAACAGGGCCTGTGATTTAATCACACTTTTCAGGGAAAGTATTTTCACTGGGAGCTTCTAGCTCCTGTGCTGCAGGAGGTCATGAATGGTCAGTCTTTGTTATTAGCTAATTGTTATGTAGGTAAAATCATATATATGTGTGTATAAAGATTAGACAGTAGTGGGGAATTAAGAGCAGGTACCTCAGGGAGCCTGCTGTAAGCGGCTGCTTGCAGTGCTCTCTGCCATTCAGGCATGTACTTTGCAATTAGTGTGGCCAGTCACAGTCAAGCCAGCAGGTACCCTCACCCCTTCCTCCACAGAAAAAGCAGCACCCTTAACCAAGACACCCGTTGTGCTGCCTGGAGCGTTTCACTCTCAAGCAGACAGCACAACAGCCGTGCAGAGTCAGGCAAAGGGTCTGTGTAGGCCAGAGTCTTGTTTCTGTCTTGAGCCATAAGTGGACAACAGGGGAAGGGTGAAGAATGGGTGTCCTGGTTTTGGAACCATCACAGTGGGGCAACGTGTGTAATATTTCACCAGTTTCTCTATCAACCTCTGACTATTTTCAGCTCATTGGATCCTGTGAGCGGGACACGTTTTGGATCTGTGCAGTAATCCTTGAGGGATGTCTTGCATGCTGTCACCTGGTCTGTTCTGGAAGCCTTGTAAACTTTCAGCATCTACAACATTGCATGGTGATGAGGCCACAGTCTTGTAAAAACGGCAAAAATGACACCCAAACCTTTCATTGGGAACGCCCATCTCCCATAAACTACAGTGACTGACATTAATGATACGTTTAACTCATTATCAGGGTCACAGCTTAATTCTCCAACTGTTTACCTAACTGGTCTAAAAGTCTCTGAGTCATTGCTTTTGATCCATTTAAATATTGGATTGATGCTGGTGTAGATGGATCACGATGGGGGAGAGGTTTCTCCCAGCAGTGACAGACCAGCCGCTGCTTCTTTGGGGACCCTGCCCATGGCTTCAGGCTCTTCTGCAGCCAGAGGCTCTGCTCTCCCTTGTGGCTCCAGCCCCAGAGAGCAGCTTCTCTGCCCTCCCCTGCCCGACTCCACTGATGCAGCCGAAACCTCCCAGGAGGCGATGGGCTGGTTGTGCTGCCTTCTCGGATGGCACTCGGTCCAGGACAAAGTGGAGTGCTGTGTCACGCCCTGGAGCAGGCGACATCTATGTAGGACATGGATGTCGTGTAAACACCCTAGACTGGAAAGACATTGCCCGGCTGCAAGCTATCATTAGCTGGTCTCTAATCAGACCTGATGCTGGGGCTTGGCTGCACACACAGCTCCCAGGGCAGGGGCTGGCTGTCCTTTCAAGCTGTCGCAGCAGCCCAGCCCAAAAGGTCCCGGTGGGAGCGGTTTTCCAGCCGGGGTGGGCAGGGGCAGCCCGGCAGTGCTGCGGTCCCCAGCCCTGCCTCTGCGCCCGGGAGCGGAACGGCCTCATCCCCCCTGCCCGGCGCTCGCCTCGCGGGCTCCTGCCGCCGGGCTCCCAGCCCAGACCCAGCGCGCAAGCCGGCAGCCTCCTGCCTCGGATGCCTGCAGGCTCAGGCAGGTCCCACAGCCCTGTTTGCTTCCCTCCCGTGTCCCAGTGACCCCATCTGCTCAGCTGAAGCGTTGAGGACACGAAGTCCATCGCATGGAGCAGCAGCTCCACCCGGCCCTGGTGCCACTCTGTCACTTTGTCCCTTCTTGGAAAGGACCGAGTCCTGTCTGGAGACCTCTGCTCACTCTGGGCCTCAGCAGCTGCCCTCTGATCCCTAGATTTTGGGTAGAGGCAAGGTCCCCGCGTTCCTTGGAGGCCCTTGGTATCTGCACGGAGGGTGCTGCCACGATCCCCTCCAGATGGGCTCTGTCCTACCTGCTGGACACGTATCCAGAGCGGCTGGCTCCCCGGCGGGCTCTGGTCCTCCTCCTCCTCCTCCCGCTGCCTCTCAGCCAGGATGAGCAGCCAAGGCAAGTGCCCAATTTAAATCCTTCCCTTCCCCGCCCCTGGGGATGACACGGTGGCCCTGCCCTGTGCTGAAATACAGGAGCAAAACTGAAATACAGACACCCAACCACCGCAGCACAGCTGCACGGCAGCCCCAGCCCGGGAGCCCAGGTGGGGTGGCAGGGACAGGGGCACAGTGACTGGCCCCAGTGCGGGACGGGGGGGGAATGTCTCTCACTGGAGCTTGGACAAGTGGTGGCTGCAGAGGATGCAGAGGCACGGTGAGGCTTCTGGACTCCCTGCCACCACCTTCTTCTGACGGGTGCCCTGCACGAGTGCTGGTGGGCTGCCCTGCCCGTGATCCCGGCTGCCGTGGAGGTCCCCACAGATCTGGGCTCGTTCCACCCGCCTTTGCTCTGCTGAGTCCCTTGGCTGGGGTGGGGACCTGCCCCTGCTCCCCCGCCGGGGCAGAGACCGAGCCTGTCCCTCGCTGTGGCCATGCCTGGGACCGTGCTGGTACCGGAGCTGTGGTGGCTGCTGGTGTCCTTGGCAGTGCGTGCAGCGGGTGCCCAGTGCCTCCGGCTGGAGCAGCCCCAGCATGGAAACCTCTCACATTCCCGGTGAGCAGGGAGGGACAGTCCTGTGGTGCAGCCGGCGCCTGCCTGGGAGCTCAGGGGTCACGGTCAAGTGCTTGCTGGCCAAGGGTCTGTGCCGGCTGGCCAGCTGGCAGGGACAGGCTCGTGGCTCTGGCCAGCTTTGGGCTGAAGCTCGGTCCCACGGGTGGGTCAGTTTCTGTGTCGGCGTAGGATGGGCCACATCGCATCAGACCGCGGCCACCGTTCTGGTGAACAGGCTGGCCTGACGCCCGCTTCCAGAACGAGGGCGGTTTCGGTTGGATTGTTCTGGTTCGCAGTCGTCTGTGCAGCTGTGTATGTGCTTGGGTGTCAGCCGTGCCTGGGGCCGAGGGCATCTGCGACTGCGTGTGTGCTGCCATCGCCCTGCACATGTGCCCGCGCCTCTGCCTCTGTGTGTGACTGCATGTGCTCTTGTGTGACTGCGTGTGGGTGACTCCACGCGAGTGTGCGCCACGTGCGACTGTGTGTGCAAGGGGGAGGCTGTATATAGGCTTGGGGGAGCCTGCAATGTGCAGCTGCACATACACGGGTGCGTGTGACTCTGTGTGTGTGCTGGTGTGGCTCTGGCCCTGCGTGGGTGTGCGTGGCTCGGTGCCGCTGTGCAGAGGAGGTGCTGCCTGCCCCTGCCCTTCCTCCCCTGGCTGTCCTGCTTTGGGTGCACATTCCTGCCTGCGTAGGTGCTTGCCAGACTGGATGATCAGCACACAGAGACATTTTCCCTCTGACTCACCAAGGCTGGTTTGGCTCTGGGGAACACACCTGGGCCGGAGGTCCCTCCATTCACAGGGGTGAAGGGTGACACAGGACCCATTTCTGTTGTCTTTGCTCCCTCCTCAGAAGCCCTTCCTTGCCTGACATCTATTTTCAGCCTGGGTTATGCTGCACTTCATAACTGCAACTTCACTAATTGCACTTCACTGTAGGTGCAGCTATTCCTGCTAGAGTACAGCAAAAAGCTTCATCCTGAGCTGCATCCCTGGCAGGAGCAGGGTGCGAGGGAGTGCAAAGGGTACCTGGCTGGGCAGGGACAATCCCATCTTTCTTGTCTCTCAGCAGCCTGCTCTGTGCAGCACAGACCCTGCGCGCAGGCCTGGCCAGATGAGCACCCGCAAGGCAGCGCCGAGCTGCTCTGCATTGCTCCCCCCACCTCCCCAGGCACGGCACTGCACTAACCAGGCCAAGCAGGACACTCCTCTGGGATGTACCAGGGACGCTGGACCACTATCTGGAGCTGGCCCAGCTCGCTTAGACACCTCTGAAGTACTGGTAGTTGGTGGCTTCCCTCGAAGGTGTTTAACTTTGCATTTGTCAAAACAGAGGCTGTGATTTATCTCCCCACAGTGGACGCCTCCCACTGAGCTGGAGTCCCAGTCCCGTTATAGCTGTGAAGAGCACATCAGGACGCTCACTGGAGACCAGAGCATGACTCCTCTGACCGCTTGCACACTTGCTGTGTCCATACAGCAACCACCAGCCACACGGACCTGCTCTCCTTTGGCTGCTCAGGGCAGCCGAGGTGGCCCAAGCTGCACACAAACATCACCCGCACTGAATCACCCTGAGCATCACCTCGTCCTGCACGTGCAGGTCTCTGAGCAGTCCCACCTCCCTCACGGGCACCAGATGGTTTAAAAGGAGTTGTATTACATGGAAATGCTGGTGCCTCACCTCCACCCTTCCATCTCACTCCCAGATTGTCCCCTCTTTAGAGAGAACAAGGTTCCCTCTTCCCCAGTGAGGACTATTTAATCCCACACTTCCCTCCCTACCTCCTAGCCTGTTTCTGGGATGTGACAAACCTTTTTCTTTTCAACCCTGAAGTAGCTTAGTTCTTTCATGATCTTCTCTAAGGCACTGTCAAAGGATTTTGGGAGATGGATTAAGTGAGCTGAGCGCTGCTGTATCCAATACTGTACCCAAAAGGCATTTCCCCAGGGGATTAGGAGGATGCTAGTGAGTCCTGTGCCTGAGGCCCCGTGCCTGCCAGCTCCTGGAGCCTCCGAGGGGGGCTGCACCCACTGCCATGGGACAAGCTGACCTTCCACAGTCCTGGGGCCCACCAGCTCTTCTGACACCCCCCGAGAAGGGCCGATGAAGAAGGAGGGTGCCCACAAGCACATCTCCAGGCAGGTGGACATTCCTGTGTCCCCTGGGTGACTCCCAGCACCTGCAAGCCTTCCCCAGAGACTGCAGTGAGCTCCTCAGCTTCGCAAATGCCAATCAGAGCTGAACCACTGGTCCTCCTGGATGGGGTTGCATGTGTGCTGCGTCCCGTCTCGCTTACTCACTGCTCTGGCCACCCGCTGCCAGACACACAGGGTGTGTAACAACTCCTGGGCCTCGTCTTTGTCTCTGTGGCTTGGGCCAAAATCCTCTCATCCCCACTCCCAAAGCTGCCACGCAGTGATGTGCTAAAGGCACAGGGACACTGGAATCTGCCCAGCAAGGCAGAGCTTAGCCAGAGTGTGTGACCGGGCTGCCTCCAGACCTGCCTCTGCCCCTCTCCGCCTGCTCCTGGGGCTCATCACGAGACCTGAGACTTAAAGGAAGGCTCCCGTCTCCCTGTCTGCTGCCCAGGAGCATCACCAGCGTCTTACCTGGTGTATGGGGTTTGCACAGCAAGGTTTTGGTAGCAGGGGGGATACAGGAGTGGTTTCTGTGAGAAGCAGCCAGAAGTTTCCCTCATGTCTGACAGTGCCAATGCCAACTGGCTGCCAGACAGACCCACCAATGGCCAAGGCTGAGCCCACCAGCGACTGTGGCAGCACCTCTGGGTAAGGTATTTAGAAGGGGAAAAAAATCCTGCACAGAAAAAGTCAGAAGGGAGGAGTGAGAATATGTGAAAGAAACGTCCCCAAAGACACCAAGGTTAGTGAAGAAGGAAGGGGAAGAGGTACTCTAGATGCTGGAGCAGATATCCACCTGCGGCTCATGGGGGTTAATGCTGGAGCAGATATCCACCTGCAGCTCGTGGGGGTTAATGCTGGAGCAGATAGATATCCACCTGCGGCTCGTGGGGGTTAATGCTGGAGCAGATATCCACCTGCGGCTCGTGGGGGTTAATGCTGGAGCAGATATCCACCTGCGGCTCGTGGGGGTTAATGCTGGAGCAGATATCCACCTGCGGCTCGTGGGGGTTAATGCTGGGGCAGATATCCACCTGTGGCTCGTGGGGGTTAATGGTGGGGCAGATATCCACCTGCGGCTCGTGGGGGTTAATGCTGGAGCAGATATCCACCTGCGGCTCGTGGGGGTTAATGCTGGGGCAGATATCCACCTGCGGCTCGTGGGGGTTAATGGTGGGGCAGATATCCACCTGCGGCTCGTGGGGGTTAATGCTGGAGCAGATATCCACCTGCGGCTCGTGGGGGTTAATGCTGGAGCAGATATCCACCTGTGGCTCGTGGGGGTTAATGGTGGGGCAGATATCCACCTGCGGCTCGTGGGGGTTAATGCTGGAGCAGATATCCACCTGTGGCTCGTGGGGGTTAATGCTGGGGCAGATATCCACCTGCGGCTCGTGGGGGTTAATGCTGGAGCAGATAGATATCCACCTGCGGCCCATGAAGGACCTCATGCTAGAGCAGGGGGATATGCCTGAAGGAATCTGTGACCTCATGGAGATCCTATGCTGGAGCAGGTTCCTGGCAGGACCTGTGTCCCCACAGAGAAAGGAGCCCACGCTGGAGCAGGTTTTCTGGCAGGACTTGTGACCCTGTGGAAGGGACCTACGCTGGGGCACTTCATGAAGAGCTGCAGCCCACGGGAAGGACGGGTGTGGGGGAAGTTTGTGGAGCACTATTTCCCATGGGAGAGATCCCACAGGGAGCAGGGGGAGAGTGTGAGGAGTTCTCCCCCTGAGGGGGAAGGAGTGGCAGAGACAATGGGTGATGAACTGGTCACAACCCCCAGCCCCTGACTCCTGCCCTGCTTTGGAGGCAGAGGGAGAGAAACTGGGAGCAAACCTGAACCTGGGAAAAGGGGAGGTGGGGGAAGGTGTTTTAAGATTTAGTTTTTATTCTCTCGTTATGCTACTCTGATTTGATTGGCAATACATTAAATTAATTTTCCCCGAGTTGAGGCTGGTTTTGCCCGTGATGACAATTGCTGGGTGATCGCTCCCTGTCCTTATCTCCACCCACAAGTCTTTTGTTGTATTTTTCTCTGCCCTGTCCAGCTGAGGAGGGGGGAGAGATAGAGCAGTATTGGTGGGCACCCGGCCCACCACACCCAGTGACAGAGATGTCATGGAGCCCGTTCCCCGTTCTCTTGGCACTGGAAGGAACCAGCCCAACTCCAACACTTGGCGTCAGGAGCTGCAGCCAAGTTCTTCTGACCACGAGGCCTCACGAGCAAGCAAGGGGGTTGT